TGTACAAGGTAGGTTGTGATACAGAGAGAAGGTAGCCTTCAGACATGTACAAGGTAGGTTGTGATACAGAGAGAAGGTAGCCTTCAGACATGTACAAGGTAGGTTGTGATACAGAGAGAAGGTAGCCTCAGACATGTACAAGGTAGGTTGTGATACAGAACTTTAGGCTCGAGCTGTTTTCAGTTTGCTCATACTGTTTTTGATCAGGGGCTGGTACATATTCTAGAAAGATCCAGGTGGGAAACATGGCGGGCTTTGCAGGTGTGGGATCTCCTGCACAACTCAGCTCTGCCATTAGAGTCTCGGGGTAGCCGCAGAAGATGAGCAGAGATGGGTGTGCTCCTACCCCGCGGAGGCTCACTTCTTGGAAGAGGAACAGCAGGCCCTGCCTTGTGCTCCCCCCCCCCGCGCCCCCGCTTTGGGTGACTGCAAAGAGGCACAAAGGGGGACTGACTGTGCCAGCGCTGGGACTCTTAGGTGCGCTTCTGTGATCTTCTTGCTAGGAATTAAACATGGGCCAGCGATGCTCCGATACAAGAGGAATCGTCTTTGAAGATGTCCGAGTGCCTAAGGAAAACGTTTTAATCGCTGAAGGAGCCGGGTTCAAGATTGCAATGGGGGCTTTTGACAGGACCAGACCTACAGTAAGCTCATTATCCTTGTGGGACCTTGTGCTTGTGGTTTTCAGTGAGGTTTATTTTCACATGGCATGCCTTATTTTTTTTTTTCTGTAATGGTGGTGGAGAGGAGGTTGCTACATGTACTATGTATTTCACCTTCTTTTGCTGCTCAGTGTAGAGGCGACTTTAGCAGACGCTAAGCTACTGTCTGCTAGATTTCCAGAAAGCTCACCCCCGACTTGATCGTTCTTGTTGACTGTGGATCACCGCGTATTCTGCCGCTCACTTAGGATGAGTCTATGGAAGGCTCCCTGGTTAAACAGTAATGACTTTTCTAGGCGGTGGGCCTCAGCCTCACACTTGCCCTACTTAGTTATTTACTTATTTACTGCACAGCAGTGGGGATAACTCAGGGTCCACTGAAGGCCAAGCATGAGCTCTCTGCCACTTAGCTGCCTTCCCAGCCCCTGCCATGACCTTTAATTGAAAAGATAATAAACCCCAGTGTCCCTTCCTTCCCCCACCACAGTGACATCACTTTGTCTGTGTCCTTTTCGGAAGACTGACAGGTAGTGTAGTGTTGTGTGGATTGACGACAATGTCAACTTTTGTGTCACTTGGTGTTAATGACCTAGGTAGCAGCTGGTGCTGTTGGGCTGGGCCAGAGAGCTCTGGACGAAGCTACAAAGTATGCCCTGGAGAGGAAAACATTTGGGAAGCTGCTAGCGGAGGTAATCTTTCGTTCTCTTTGAGTGTGTGCATGTGCGTGTGTGTGCGCGTGCGCACGCATGTGTGTGCGTGTATGTGTGTGCGTGTGTGTGTATATGTGCGCGCACAAGCGTGTGTGTTTTCATGGGTGAAAGCACACTTTTGCACATTTCTATGGAGATCAGAGGAGAACCTTGGTTGTCTTCTCCTTAGCTTTTTTTGTTTTGTTTTGTTAAAACAACAATTTCTCACTGGCCTGGGGCTCATCAGTTAGGTTAGGTCAGCTCAAGCGATCTGCCTGTCTCTGCCTCTCCTATGCTAGGATTCCTGGGAGGCACCTCTGTACCCAGCTTTTCTCATGGATTCTGGTCCTCAGGCTTGTGTGGCAAACATTTCACTGAGAGCTGTCTACCCAGCCCTCAAGGAGGCAGTCTATGTGCTGTGTTTGCCTTGTTGAAATTTAAATACACTCATTTTATCTAAATATTTAGAAATGACTTATAAAGAAGAAAGTAATCTGTTTTGTCAGGAAGAAGACAAAAGATAGTTCATCACAATCGCTTGTAAGAGCACATTTTCTCAGCCGGGTGGGTGTGGTGCACACCTTTAATCCCAGTGCCCATTTTCTCAGCCAGGTGGGTGTGGCGCACACCTTTAATCCCGGTGCCCATTTTCTCAGCCGGGTGGGTGTGGCGCTCATTTCATTCCCCCAGTGCCTTGGAGTTGGCACTGCCGTTTTCATTTTGTGAGAACATTAGGCCCAGCTAGTAAATGATAGAACTAAGACCTGAGCCCAAAGAATCAATCATTTACAGATCCTGTTCTCTGTGTGGAAAAGAGGCAGATCCTGTTCTCTGTGTGGAAAAGAGGCTGGGCAGTTTCTGCCCCTGAGAACTCTTCTTTGGAGATAAGTTCCTCATAATAGAGCAAATGCTTACAAAGACATGGAGCAACATTTAAGTCCCCAAATGACTCAAAAGGAAAGCGGCCACCATGGGTTGAAGATGCTGCAGGGAGGCAGCTTCTGTAAATCACCTTCAGCAATCGATAAAAGCACCTGCTTTGGATCACGTTAGATTAACCCCAAGCCTGGAGTGGTGGCAGTCAGTAGACCCAGGCAGTAAGCATTTTAGGCAGTTTGAAATCTATAACAAGACCCTGTTCAACAATTAATTAATTAAAAACAAGGTGTGTGTAGTGGCGCACACTACAGTCCTTCCACCCGTAACACATATTACATGCCAGTCATGACAGAGCACGTGCCATCTCTTCAGGGAGGGTTGGTTTTTGTCTCCCATTCGATTATGACAAGGACAGGAAGCGTCATGTGCATTTTTCCATATCTGTAACAGCTTCCTTTTGAAAGCCCTTGCAGGGCAAAGCTTGGCAGACATACTGAAATCCCAGCTACTCCGGAGGCTGAGGCTCACAAGTGTGAGGCCCGCGTGGGCCAGGCTGTGCAAGGCCACTCTGAGCTGCGTAGAGAGTCTTGTCTGATATGAGGTCCTAGTTCCAGCCCCACATCCCATTCCTTCCTGCCCCCACTGTGTCATCTGGATCTCTGCAGATGCTTGAAGCACAAGAATGCCCGGTAATCTGTGCAGCTGAACCCAAGACCTCACCCTGATAACATGAAAATATAGATAAACCAAACCAAGGAGCAATTTACCAAAAAAATCCATATTCTTCAAAAGGACAAAAGTCAGGAGACAAGACAGGAATTGCATAGTTTGGGGGGTTCTCTGAGGTAGTAACTATGGCAACGTGGGTCTTGAGTAAGTTCAGGATCAATGTCAGCTATATAGCAAGACTGTCTTCAAATAGAAAAGAGGGGGCTGGAGAGATGGCTCAGTGGTCAAGAGCACTGGCTGCTCTTCCAAAGGACCCAGGTTCAATTCCCAGCTCCCACATGGCAGTTCACAACTGTCTCTAACTCCAGTTCCATGGGATCTGACACTCTCATACAGACATATATGCAGGTAAAACCCAATGTGCATTAAATGAATAAATAAATCACCTTTAAAAACGGAAAAGAGGCAGGGTACAATGGTGCACGCCATTAATCCCCACACTTGGAGGCAGAGGCAGGTGGATCTCTTGAGTTTGAGGCCAGCCTGATTTACAGAGTGAGTTCTAGAACAGCCAGGGCTATACAGAGAAACCCTGTCTCAAAAACCAAAAGAAAAGAAAGAAAATTGAAAAAGCTAGAATCAGTCTGTGATCCTGAAGTAGATCCTGGCCAGTCTGGCTCGGGTCTATGTAGTTTTGCAGATCCATGCCAATTGCTTTGGCTATTGCGCTGTGGTCATTTATTAGATAATGTGGGACATATTCTTGTATATGTGTTGCTTTTATTGGTTAATGAGTAAAGCTGTTTGGCCAATGACTAAGCCTGGTGGGAAATCCAAACAGATATAGAAAGAGTAGGCAGAGTCAGGCTGATGCCATGTAGGTGCCAAAGGAGAAGGACCGGAACCTTACTAGTAGACCACAGCCTTTTGGCGATACACAGATTAATAGAAATGGGTTAATTTAGGATGTAAGAGCTATGTAGGTATAAACCTAAACTATTGGTCCAAACTGTCGTGATTAATATAGTTTCTGTGGGATTATTCGGGTCTGAGCAGCGGGGAAACAAAAAGCAGTCTCCATCTACAAAAGTGTTACTGCTGGGAGATGCTAGCTATGACTTTTCTGCAAATTCAAAATTAATGCAAAATAAAAAGTAAAAACGTTTTAAGAAAAAAATTACAACTATGTCCAGTAGATATCCTTTAACTGTTTTCTCTCTGAAATCTAGCACCAGGGAGTTTCGTTTCTGCTCGCAGAAATGGCGATGAAAGTTGAACTCGCGAGACTCGCTTACCAGAGAGCAGCTTGGGAGGTTGACGCTGGCCGCCGGAACACGTACTACGCCTCCATTGCAAAGGCCTTTGCTGGAGATATTGCCAATCAGATAGCGACTGACGCCGTGCAGATCTTTGGAGGCTATGGGTTCAACACAGAGTACCCTGTGGAAAAGCTGATGAGAGATGCCAAGATCTATCAGGTGGGTGTGGTCTTGTTTCTGGGGGGACAGAATGTCCGTCAATGACAACAGTAGGTTTAAGCCACTGGTAACAGTTGGGGCAACACAATGGCTCAGAGGGTAAAGGGTGGCTCACTTGCCACTGAGCCTGACAACCTTAATTGAAGTCCTAGAATCCGTATGGTAAGAGAACTGACTCCTAAAATTCGTCCTGTGAGCTCCAGGTAAATGCCACTGTGGCATTCTGAAATAAAATAAATTATAACTATAGATTGGTACGAGTCAGATTTTGTAGCTAATCAATACAGAGGAAGAATATTGTTTTTATTAAGTGCTAAGAGGGAAGGTAAATAAATGGCGTTGGCATGTATCTCCTGCCTAACTGCCATTGAGTCTTTAAATTTTAACCAATTGCAATCTCATTTCTTGCCCTCTAAAAAATATACATGCCTTTAAAATTCTTGTCTTAAATATTGCCTGACATTTTTGAATTATTTGAAACTGTACTTACAGTCAAAAGTCATTTGTTCTTGAGAAGTGATATTTGACTCTGAAATTAAGTTGATCTTATAAAATTTTAGGACAACTTCATAAAAAAGACAGAAATGTACATGTTCTCCATTGTGGGTTATTTATAGTCCATGGTTCTTAATATCCCTACTTTGTTCTGTGCACCCTAGCAAGTTACTTAATACCCCTGCGTGTTCTGCACACCCCAGCAAATGTCTTAATACCCCTGCCGTGTTCTGCACACCCCAACAAATGATTTAATACCCCTGCCATGTTCTGCACACCCCAACAAATGATTTAATACCCCTACCGTGTTCTGCACACCCCAACAAATGATTTAATACCCCTACCGTGTTCTGCACACCCCAACAAACGATTTAATACCCCTGCCGTGTTCTGCACACCCCAACAAATGACTTAATACCCCTGCCATGTTCTGCACACCCCAACAAATGACTTAATACCCCTGCCGTGTTCTGCACACCCCAGAGGATGACTTGATAAATCTACTCGTTGGGAAGGCAGAGGCAAACTGCTTGAGTGAGACGTGGGCAACTGGTCAAGTTTTTACTGTTGTTTTAATTAAGTATTTTGCTTTGTTTTTGATTGGTATTGTGCAATATTTTTTGTTCTTCTTTCATGTTTGCCTTTTCTGGATGTTCATCACCTAATTTTCAGACAGCAGAAAGACTTTGTGTCATTAGCCATGTGAGAAGAAATTCCCAAGAACTGTAGCACTATCAGCAGTGAAAATTACGGGGCTGCAGAGGCAGCTCGGCAGTTAGAGCACTCGCTGCTCTGGCAGAGGACCTGGGGTCTGATTCCCAGCACCCACAAGGTGGCTCACAGCCATCTGAAATGACAGTTCCAGAGGAACTTTTTTTTTCAAAGCTTTTATTTAATTTTATTCTATGTGCATTAGTGTTTTGCCAGTATGTGTGTCTGTGTGAGAGTGGAGCAGGACTTACAAGCAGTTGTGAGCTGCCATGTGGGTACTGGGAATTGAACCCAGGTCCTATGGAAGTTAGTGTTCTTAACCACTGAACCAACTCTCCAGCCCGCAGGGGAACTTTTTATTTAAACAAGAGAGAAATGAACACTGGAACTTGCATCCTATCTAAAGTCCCCAGTCTTTGTAGAGCTGGTTCACCTTCCTCTTCCAGCTGTTATCAATCCTTTGACCTTCCTCTACTTCCCAAAAGGGAACTAACAACTGACTGAGATTAGAAGTTTAGGTTGGGAATGAGGGTGGATTACCAGCCCACAGCCGCCAATGTCTTAATTTCTTTAACAGTTCCTTAGGTAACAGTAGGAAAAAGAATCGTGTTTAATAGGATTCAAATTAAATCGTGTTTAATTTGAAGAATAACCAAAGAACATACCTAAAACAACTCAGAAACATTCGATAATCAATACTCTGGCAATGCTAAACCTTAGATTTCCCAAACATTTTGACGTGTAAATATCATTTTCTTTGATGCTTTAAGCCTGCCTCCCGGTTTTGTAAAATATATCTTTATGACTTAAACTGTTCTCATCAAATAGCATTTCAGTTTGGTGCTACAGTGGAGCTTAGACTGTTGTCTGAGACGTCAAATAAATCCAGGTGTTTAAACTAAATTATGTTTTTCTTTCAGATTTATGAAGGTACTGCACAAATTCAGAGGCTGATCATAGCCCGTGAGCACATTGGAAAGTTTACAAATTGAAAGAAATTGCTATTGAAAAGGTGCTTCATCCTCGTGTAACTAAATCTCCAGGCACTGTTTATGCTTAGGAGGGGAAAAGGGGCTTTATCGTCTTTCCCGGGCAATGAAATAAAGATGAGTCACACAGATCTGTGCCGTTTATTCCAGTGGTGGAGAGTGCCTCTGTTGAACTCCACGGTGGCCTTTTCCAGATGAATTTGCTTTACTGAAACAATGAGTTGCCCTTAGTGCCCCCTCCCCTAGACTATGTTGGTTTACTCTGTGAGCAGTTAGAAAACAGTGGGAGAAATCCAGTGCAGTTTTAATGCTCATTTGAGGACAGGAAAGGGGGCTTACTAAGAAAGAACTCGGTGAAAATTCTAAAATAACCATGGAAAACCTGGTAGAGGGCTGGAGAGATGGCTCAGAGGTTAAGAGCAGAGACTGTTCTTCCAGAGGTCCTGAGTTCAATTCCCAGCAACCACATGGTGGCTCACAGCCATCTATAATGAGATCTGGTGCCCTCTTCTGGCATGCAAGCATACATAGAAGGAATGTTGTATACATAATAAATAAATAAATCTTTAAAAAAAAAAGAAAAAGAAAACCTGGTAGATTTGGACCCATCAGACTCCAAATACTTAAAAGCATTTCTGTACTAAAGTGTGAATTTTATAGTTTTGAATATATTTACTTGTTTTGCACAAAAGAGTAAATAAAAATTATATTTCATTTTCTCCACTACAAAACTAAGAAATTTCTGGAAAATTCTTAATACTGAACCAACATTTTACTTGTCTTGTTTAAAATAATCCAGTAAAGCTAACTTTAAATTATTTTTCTATGGCTCTTAGGGTTTGTGTGAAATCTTTGGACTGCTGTCCATAGCTGTTCACACACAACTTTTAAAAAGAACTGAAATAAACCAAGCTGCGCACTATTCCATGGTGTTGTGTGTCTGTGTGCTGTTTTTAGTAACTCTTCCGTTAAAAACCACAGAAAGTGCCGGGCGGTGGTGGTGCACGCCTTTAATCCCAGCACTCAGGAGGCAGAGGCAGGTGGATCTCAGCCTGGTCTGCAGAGCGAGTTCCAGGACAAACTCCAAAGCTCCACAGAGAAACCCTGTCTCGAAAAACAACAAACAAACAAAAAGACCACAGAAAATATAAACAAGAAATAATGGCCACAATTTGTGAATTCGGTATTAAGTACTTGAGAAATAAGTTAAGCTAAGTGACAATGTTTTCTGATTCTTCCGTTCTCTGATAGCACGCTGCTCTCTGACAGACTATGACCCTGAGCCATGGGCCCCATGAGTGTTCCCTTCTATGCTTTTGTCAAGGTGTTTATTGCAGCAACAGAAACAAAGACAAAACTACACCATTTCACACATTCTGGTCTTCAGGCCACCTGTACTCTGCCCAACAAAGTTACTAATTCAGCTGTTCCCTGTAGTTGTTTTTTTTTGTTTTGTTTTCTGCTTGTCTGTTCATTTCTCTTTTCAGGGGCCCACCAACCAGCTCCCAAATAAATACATGGATACTTCTTACTTAGGAATGCCCAGCCTTAGCTTGGCTTGTTTCTAGCCAGCTTTTCTAACATAAATTATCCAGTTTCTCTTTAACTACATTTTTGCCTCTGGACTTTTTACCTTTATATATCTTTCTTTCCTACTATTCTGTGACTGGGTCCTCCTCTCCTTCTTTTCCCACCTCTCACCCTTGTCCCTAGATTTCTCCTATTTATTCTCCCTGCCCACCTGCCCCACCTGTTTCTCCTGCCTTGCTATTGGCCATTCAGCTCTTTATTGGCCCAATCAGGTGTTTTAGGCAGGCAAAGTAACACAGCTTTACAAATGCAACATGAAAGAATGCAACACGTCTTTGCATCATGAAACATGCATTCCACAGCATAAATGAATGTAACACATCTTAAACTAATATTCCACAGCAGTTCCCATGATGCCTCCCTCAGCTTTAATGATAAACTGGAAGGGTCAGAGCTCTGGAAAACACTTATATGAGTCCATTTATATCTTATAAAGGATACATCTCAGGAACACACTCTTAGTTTAAAAAAAAAAAGCTGGACACTGTTGCGATTTAAAAATAGATCCACACTAGATCAGAATGGAGTATAGCAAAGGTTTATTTTTTTGGGAGCACAGATCTGCAGGCGTCTGTGTGTGCAGGGAGCTGGAACCGAGTCCAGCAGCCCAGACACCATGGCATATAGCTAGAATCTCAACACTACTGAGGCAGAGGGATTATGAATTTGAGGCAAGCTTGGGTGACACAGCAAGACTCCTTGGGGGAAAAAAAGCTGAGCTGAAAACTGGGCAGTTAAGGGCACTTGCTGTTCCTGAAAGGACCCCCTGTGGCTCACAACCACCTGTCCCTCCTGCTCCAAGGGATCCAGTGTTCTCTTCTGGCCTCTGAGCACCAGGCATCTATCTGTACGATGTACATACATACATGCAGGCAAAAAGCATTCAAGCACATAAAATAAATATAAATCTTAAAACTAAGTAAATGTTTATAAATTACTATTATGACCAAGGTATAATTAAGTAATCGCGTGTGTGCTTTGCATGTTCAATGTGTTTTGTATGTGTGTTTAAGACAATGTGTTTTGCATGTGTGATACCTAGCACACACCCCAGTTGTATGTACAAAGTCTATAGCAGCAAGTACTGTAGACCTTAGCTTGAGCTGTCATATCAAAATCCCGTGAAGTGTACGGTTTATCAACAACAGAAAAGTACTTCCCTCACTGCTGGGACCTGTGATTCCAAGATCAGGCTGTCCGTGCAGTCGGCCAGGCTTCCGGCTGTTGTCTCTTACAGTGTCCTCTTAAGGCAGAAAGAACTGTAGAGTGAAAAATAAAAACCCAGAAACAGATGCTGGGGTCCAACCTCAAGATCAGAAAAGCAAAGCAGCCAGTCACTGGTTCTCACCTCTACCTCAGACTGAAATGGGCAGTCCCACCTGCGTGAATCCTCAGATTGAGACTCAGTGTGAGACCCATCTCCTCCTGTTTTATATTCCTCTCTAGTGCTGGGATTAAAGATGTGCACCACCACCACCTGGCCTGTATGGCTGACCAGTGTGGCTGCTTTGCACTGATCTTCAGGCAGGCTTTATTTATTAAAACACAAATAACAGAGCGCTCTAAAGGACCAGATGGGTGCTGGCCTCTGGAAAGGGCACTCAGCCCACTTGTTAGGGCTGCACCCTCGGGACAATTAGCTCTCAAAGGCTCTGTCTCCCACAAACAATCACAATGGGGATTAGACTTAAAGATCTGAATTATGAACAGAGACAAGCATGTAGTTTATAACATGATTTGTGTGAAACTTAACACAAGTAAAACCAATTAAGAAGTTTAGCAAATTGTTTGTTTGATGTTTTTTGTTGTTGTCTTTTACTTTTTTGAGACAGGGTCTCACTATGTAACCCTGGATGGCCTGAAACTAACTCTGCAGCCCAGACTAGCCTTTAACTCATAGAGATCCACTAGCCTCGGCCTCCTGAGTGCCACAAATTAAGGTGTGCCCCGCCACATCTGGCCTGACATTTGGATTTTTAATAGATGTCTCTGAGCTACCAATTTCTTTCTTTTTTTTTTTTTTTTTTTTTTTTTGATTTTTGAGACGGGGTTTCTCTGTAGTTTTTGGTGCCTGTCCTGGAACTATGAGCTACCAATTTCTATAAGAACACGTTTTCCCCTCCAAAATGTAGCTTCTTCAAAAGATAAGTTGTTTTTCTGAGACAGTGTCTCACTGGGTAGCCCAGGCAGCCCTCAAACTTTGTGGTCCTCCTCTGAGCTAGGATAACATGCAGGCACTGGCCCTCCTGACTTAGAAATTAGTATTTACAATTCTGCAAGTTTGGGGACTTTTGTAAATACAGGTGCTCATTTGCCTCTGTCAGAAGAGAGATCCTGTCGTGAGACAGACTAATAAAGTCTATTAATCTGTTCTAAAGTGTGGAAACACTCCATCAGCATGCAATGGGAGGTCAGGCCCGTGAGTTTCAGATCTACAGTCTGTCCTAGGTCAACAGTCAGCTACTAAGATTTCAGTTCTTAGGGGCTGTTCTCCCCAGTGCACATAACAGTCTCGATTTACTAGGACTCACAGATACACAAACACAAACTAACCAAGTCCACTGGGCATCTTGCACCTAAAAGAGAGCTGATGTCTGTAACTGATCATCAAATGGACCATAAACACAGCCCTAATCATTGCTGCCCCTAATGAGGGTTAACGTATGGGCCGTGTCTGAGCCTGAACAGTGGTGAGGGGCAGGGTCCTGAGAAAGGACAGTAGTCAGCCTAAGCAGGCCTCGTGGTACTGATCTGCAGCAATGCCCTTCATGGTGAGTCTGTCTCGCATAGCAAAGCACATGCCCTCCCAGACTGACCAAATATCATTTTCCCAAACATGATACATATAAACACAAAATGAATACAGCTCTGGCTGCTTTTCTAGAGGACCTGGGTTCAATTCCCAGCACCCACACAGTTGTCTATGACTCCAGTCGCAGGGGAACCAATGTCTTCTTTTGGTCTCTGTGGGCACTGCATGCACATGGTACACAGATGGGCATTCAGGCAAACACTGATACCAAAAAAGAAAAATAAATAAAATATTAAAATAAAATAAACAAACCAGCTAATTTCCAGAGTCATATTTTATTACTCATAAAGAACAGATTTTGACTTTGATTTTTTGAGGCAGTGCCTTAGGTAGCACATTTCCCCTGATTCGCTATGTAGCCCAGGACATCCCTGAACACCTGTCTTCCTATGAAAGCTTCCAAGCACTGGGGCAGAACTATATTTTAAAAATATCTTTCTATTCCCAAATTCATCTTTAAAAGTGTTAATGGGAGCCAGGTGGTGGTGGCCCATGTCTTTAATCCCAGCACTTGAGATGTAAAGGCAGGTGGATCTCTGTGAGTTCAAGACTAGCCTGGTCTACAGAGTGAGTTCCAGCACAACCAAGTCTACACAGAGAAACCCTGTCTTAAAAAACAAACAAACAAAAACAAACAACAGAAAAGAACTAACAGAGCTAGAATTATACTTTTATAATTGCATCTGTCTTACCTAGAGAGTTCTTTTCATTGTGGCTTCCAGTGAGGCTTGAAGTGCTGCATTAGATAAGATTCCACTCATGGGCTGGTGAGAGGGATCCATGGGAGGGCACTTATCACCATGCCTGGCAACCTGAGTTCAATACCTGGATCTCATGGGGTAGAAGGAGAGAAGACTTGTTCAAGTTGGTCTCTGACCTCTAAGTGCCCTGTGACGTGCACATGTGACACACACCCCACAAAATAAATAACCATTAAAGAGAAAGATTTCGTGGGCTGGGGAGATGGCTCAGTTTATACAGCACTTGCTGCACAGCCTTGAAGACCTAAGTGGATCCTTAATTCCCACAAAGAGTACGGTTTGGCCGTGTGTGCCTGTGATCCCAGAGTTAGGGAGGGAGAACAAGGTATAGCCCGTGGGATTGTTGGCATCCCATTCGGTCTAGACAAATCCCTGCGGCCTAGGTCTAGTCAGAGACTCTGTCACAAAAAATAAGGTAGAGCGATTGAAGATGACCCCAACATTGATCCCTGACCTTCACAGACACAAACATATATATGCACCCCACATACAATGTGCATATGTATACACACATACACAAAAATAGTTTTATCGTAATCAGGGTTCTTTAGAGGAACGAAATGTATAGAATAGATACATATTAAAAGCACTTATTAGATTGACTTACATGATATTGTCTGGGTAGTTCAACATTGGCTTCTTCAATGTAAAGAAGCCGAGAACCCAGTAGCTGCTTATTTGGCAAAGTTGGATGCATCAGCAATTGCAACCTGGTCATGCAGGCTTTCTGAAGTTCTTGTGTCCTTCACTCTGTTAGAA